AGAGGCGGACGAAGACATAAGGCGGACGAAAAGAGTCGGACGGAAAAATAAAGAAGCGGACGAGTTTTTGATTTTTTTTTGGGAAAGCATTATGAAACTTTGTTCAACTAAAAAAACTCTGATGATTACAGCTGACTTAAGACAAAAAGCGGTTAAGTATGAATTAACCAGAAGTCATTAGAAAAACTGAAGCAAAAAAGTTTTGAAGTCAAGGGCTTTAGGTAAGTTAAAAAACTCAAGATACTGATTCTTTCAATTCGCAACAGACAGTTTTAAACCTGTTTTAGCCGATCGTTCAACCAATAACAACATTTGTTTGACACATTTTTTTTTACTTTTTACAAGCTCGATAATAATCCTCAACAGCTTGGTGAGAGCGCTTATAAGGTTTTCTGGGGCTTTATAGTTTACTTCGTTAAATCCGTCTCCAGGGCAATCATCGGCTCGACGAATCTCTCGAACCGTGATTTGCTTCTTTGTCAAGTTACAAAGGACCTGAATTGTGGTAGCTCAAGGTACCTCCAGTAATTTTGATCTCAACCAGCCTGACATTCCTTTTTTGAACAATCGCTTGATTTGTTCATTCCGATTGTCATTTACTGCTTCTAATCTTTCTTACCTTTGAGCTGTTTCAGTGTGAAAGAGAGCTGCTTGTACCGCCGCATCCGCTGCGGCACCGTCAATCGTGGCTACGGCTGGCAAATCTGGTGTGAGATACGCTCGATACGCTACGCACGCTTTTTTGTTAGGCTCATCAGGAAAGTTTCAGGCGTATCTCCTGAGTTTAATTGGAGTTCCTTTAACTACAGGACGTGTACTTCATGAAGCTGGGGATTGCAAAAGTGATCTTTTAGGGCTGCGAGATTGTTCGTGACGTTTCCTCTGATGGCTGCAGGCAAAGTTTGATAGAATCTTAGCACATCGTCTCGTAGATGAAATTGCAAGAGGTTCACTGGTATCCGATGTATTCTTGGCACAGTCGCTCAATGCGCGTTTGTCGTCTTGTAACAATTGAATGATTGTCATTTTCATAATAGAATTGTTGATAACAGATTCAGCACTCAGTCAATTTTGGGTTGAGACAAAAAATTACTAGTTTCAGTAAATTTCAACTAGCTAGTGGTTTTTGTGTGCTAAATTTTTGGCTACTTTACTTTTGGTATTGGGGTACTTTTTTTAATCAACACCATTTTACTGCGCTTGTGAGAGTTTTGAGTTAATTTTGAGCTCACCGACTTTTTTGTTATTGGATACCTATTTTCTATTTCATTTTCTTCTGGGTCAGTAGCTCACTTGCCAAACCATCTACGTGCATTGCAACAAGAGGTAGGGATGCTTTAGGTCACAGTCTGCAGCTTTGGTTCTCCAAATTGAAATAATGCGTGAAGCGGGTTGATGACAAGTATTAGTAGTCGTCTTTCTCGCCTGTCTAAGTTGATCCTTGATTGTTGCTCGGCTACCCACATCCAGGGTAACCACTTGGTCATTATTGTAGCGACTGGTCGCTAGTGGTCGTTATATGGTCGCTACCTTTCAAATATTTGCTACTTTTTGCTACTCTGAGTCTGTTGTGCCATCTTTCAGAGTGTTTAATGGGAAAGACTAAGCTGACACAGCAGTTGTTAAAAGTTCCTTGTCTGAAGAGATTGAGCGATACTGTTGCAAAGTGTATTCATGACCGACACATCATTGCTGTAAGCAACGGGAAGATAATAAATTAAGAAGCACATTAAAACAGAGTTATTTCAACGAAAGGCTTTACCGGTTGAGGTTTGGACCACCGTATGTCGAAGAAATGCGCCAACAACGCAGATTGACAAATGTCCAAATGAAAAGAAAGCTCCGCTTAAGATCAGCAACGCGTTCGAAGAATTACACGGAGTTGAAACAGCAACATGCGAACAAGCCCGCGCAAGTTTTTACTGCTTCAATAACCAAGAAATAATTAAATAATTATTTTATAGGTGAAAAATTGTTTTCCGGGTGTTTTTAGGGTGCTTGAGTCGATAAAAGGAAGGTAGCCTTTCCACCTTGACAACTGAGGTAGCTTGTCTGCTTTAAAATGAGTGGTCAGTCTGTCCACACCTGAGCCGTGCTGTGTGAACCAGGTTGAATTGCTCATTTCAGCTTCAGCACATGTCTCTTGTCATGGTGTGTTTTTACGTGTTGTAGTCTCCAGTTGCCGTTGACTAGCCGTGAATCCAGAAATAGAGTCTTGCACGGTGTCACCATGTCATATACGGTTTTTCCGGTCTATTATTTTGTCTTTCTGCAGGTTGTTCTCGAGCTGTTATGTTATTAATCAGCGCAACAGTTTATCAGTGTTCATTGCTGTTTTTTACGCGTCTGGAGCGGTTAGGCATATCTTGCACCAGGGATGTTTGAGTCAGACCTATTCGTCTAGATTCTATCTCATCGATTGGAGCAAGTCATAGCACGATAGGAATAGTTTGTTCTCTTCGTATACAGAGCAGTTGAATCTCTGTTGTGATTACGGCTTGGTTGAATCTGGCTCTTGCGTTGCTAGAATTACTTATCAATTTTAATTAGTTAAGTATTTGTTAGTTTGAGCTCCAATTTAATTAATGTTAGGGTGGATTCCATAATCATTAAATGAAAATGCAGATGTCAAAAGCCTGGCATGAAGTTAACAGTGTTTTGAGTTCTAACTACTTCGTTCAATGTTTTACACATGCAAAGCTGAGCGTCGCACCACTTACGATACAAAAAGCATAGGTTGAAAACAGCATGGCGCTGAAAAAAAGCACAGACGACTTTGGGCGAAGAAAAAATAAAAAAGAAACTAGGAACTATTTCGCCAGAGTTTTATCAATCTTCAAAATAAAACCGAAAATTTGTAGTAGATAAAATATTAGGTAGAAACGCCGACAAACAAAATTTAAGCTGACAGCCAATAAGCAGAAAATCAACCAAAATGTTTTTTTTTTGTTTTTCTCAACCAAAAACAAGCAAGTCAGAGCATGATAGGAATAGTTTGTTCTCTTCGTATACAGAGCAGTTGAATCTCTGTTGTGATTACAGCTTGGTTGAATCTGGCTCTTGCGTTGGTAGAATTAGTAATCAATTTTAATTAGTTAAGTATTTGTTAGTTTGAGCTCCAATTTAATTAATGTTAGGGTGGATTCCATAATCATTTATATGAAAATGCTGATATCAAAAGCCTGGCATGAAGTTAACAGTGTTTTGAGTTCTAACTACTTCGTTCAATGTTTTACACTTGCAAAGCTGAGCGTCGCACCACTTACGATACAAAAAGCATAGGTTGAAAACAGCATGGCGCTGAAAAAAAGCACACACGATTTTGAGCGAAGAAAAAGTAAAATAGAAACTAGGAACTATTTCGCCAGAGTTTTATCAATCTTCAAAATAAAACCGAAAATTTGTAGTAGAGAAAATATTAGGTAGAAATGCCGGCAAACAAAATTTTAACTGACAGCCAATAAGCAGAAAATCAACCAAAATGTTTTCTTGTTTTTTGTCCACGAGTGCTTTATATCTAGCTAATGCAAGACCTAAAAAGACCTAAATTGAACATTGAACCGATTTGTATCAGTTTATGTGGAAATTGTATCAATTTGTCTGGAACAAAATCATTTTAATTAAAAATAAGATGCCAAATAAGACAACTGAACGTTAAAATTGCATCAGAACGAAAAGTACGTAGTGATACGAACCCCACAATGCTTTTTGCGAGAGTAATAATCCAATGCGTAAAAATTCCGTGCTCATTACTCAACAAACAAAAAATATAGGATGAAAATTAAAAAAAATATATTTGTGAAATTTAAATTAGAAATTCAAAAAATTGCAAGAAAGTTTTCGGAAAAGTATTTTTACTCAATTGCTTACAGTAATGGCCATTAGAAAAAAGAAGAAAGCTGAATCTTCAAAAAGTATTCGTGTAATTCGAACTAAAAGCCGAAAAAATAAAGAGGCGGACGAAGACATAAAAGAGTCGGACGAAAAAGAAGACGTAAAAGAGTCGGACGAAAAGAGTTGGACGGAAAAATAAAGAAGCGGACGAGTTTTTGATTTTTTTTGGGATAGCATTATGAAACTTTGTTCAACTAAAAAATTCTGATGATTAAAGCTGACTTAAGACAAAAAGCGGATAAGTATGAATTAACCAGAAGTCATTAGAAAAACTGAAGCAAAAAAGTTTTGAAGTCAAGGGCTTTAGGTAAATTAGAAAACTCAAGATACTGATTCTTTCAATTCGCAACAGACAATTTTAAACCTGTTTTAGCCGATCGTTCAACCAATAACAACATTTGTTTGACACAATTTTTTACTTGAACTAAGAAAAAAATTACAAAAGAAAATCAAAATTAATTGAAAACATTTTCAAAATTTTGAATTTTTTTTTCACTTTATCGAAAAAGTCTAATAGATTGAATAAAAATTTTAACAATTCCCTTTAAAGAACTCAATTACTCGCATACAAAATAAAAAAAAAGTTATTCGAAAAAAAAAGCATTAGGAAGCTATTCACTTTATCGATCTGTGCCGAAAATGTACCAAAATTTTTGGAATCCTACAAAAACTCATTTTCAACTCTACGCGTAACACAACTAAATGACGGTCGTAACTGCATGAAGCTTATACAGTTACCGTAAGCAACCACACATTTTTTACCATTTGACCATTCTGTGCCTTAAGTTATTTACGGGAAAAAAGTCTTCGGGGAAAAAAAAGCTTATCACAAGGGTAAAAAGTTCGAAGAGATGTATGTAATTAGGTAGCACTGTAGATGTGATAATAAGCATGCTCAGTTAAGCGCTTTCGAGTCTCAAATTTTTTCTTGTAAAATATGATTCGCTGCAATTTTTATTAGTCCGATCGAGATGTTTGATTCTAGTAATATTTTTTGATCCAAATTAAAACTCCATATTGAATGAGAAAATTAACATATGTCAGAGTCTTTTCTGTGGTACTGTTGCATCGCTTATTGAAACTGGCTATTCTTCTTTCTGTTGTAGATGTTGATGCAGCAGCAGTCGTCTAATAATCACCTGTCTTCTTCGTCCACTGCCGAATCTATTCAGAGGTTCTCGAACATGACCATCCAGGAACCAACACATGGCCACAACCACGACCCTACAATACCCTACACAGCTGCAGGTTATGGATCTGCTAGCGTATCTACTAAAGACTCTCCCCCAAATAAAAAAGCGTTTATTGGCGTCCAAACAAATGCAGAGTATATGAGATGCCGGATCAACCGTACAATCTCCCCCCCCCCCCCTCCCACTTAAGTGGCCAACCGTAGAATTTCCCTCCAACCACGTATTAAAATTGAAAAATAATTCTGTATAATGTATGCATTTCAAACAAACGCGCACATAAAATTGGCACATCAATGGGGGGGGGGGGTGGGAGAGTGTACGGTTGATTCGAGATGTCAGCTGTTAATTTTAATTTTCCTGCATTTTCCTTGGCCAAAAAGTCTAGATATTTTTCTGAATTATCTATTTAAGAATCTCGTCCCCTTCATTAAAGAAAGAGGGATTGTTTGGTATATCCCAGGCTAGATCCATATATTTTACTTTCACGGTAGTTTTGAGGGTGGGTCGGGTCGTGTGTGGGATGAAGTAAACGAGGTGGGTCGGGTCGTGCGTGGGATGTTAACTTGATCCAATTTTGATTGGCATCATGTAGGTTTTCGTCTGTAAACTTTCAAATCTTAAGTAAACTGAAAGAAAGTGTGGCAAAAATGAAGAAAGTGTGGCAAAATTGAAGGTTTGGCAAAGTTTGCAAAAAGTTGATTCTAAACTTTGAGGTTGGGAATATTGAAAAATATTTGACTTTGAGCTCTTAACTGAATTCGAATTATTCTTCCTTTGATTGGATTTTATGAAAAAAAACTCAAAATTTCGCTGTTCTATTTTCGTCTCTAAAGGACTTAGCGACAATACGTGAAGAGCATATAAAGAGTAACTGTACTGTATAAATTACGCTTTTCAAATAAAGAAAGATTTGTGGCAGTGTTGGCCAACTATACTCAAAGTTCTGTATCCAAACAGCCAATAACCTGGCTAAAATGAACGTTGTCATTGAAATGACCCATTGTGAAAAAAGATTTATAAGCACGTCTGGCTTGGGAAAAGTTCTTCGCGAAAACACAATCTCAGTTTTGGACACTTCGTTTCAATTGAACTCATTTGTCCAGAGCTTGTTGCGTCAGCGACAAGCAAGTACCAATCGGAACAAGCTGGAAACACACATCTTTCGGCAGTAATAGAGGGAAGTAGATAATCACGAATAGAGCCTTAATTTCGGAAATGTATCAAGACTACTCCTAATTGAATTCCTTCTACTTGTTACGCATTTCTTGAGGCTTCCTGTCGTAGATAGCGACACTACGTGACTGTAGGTTAGGCGGCAAATCCTGATTCATACATATCGTGCCGAATGTAAGCGCAGCAGAGCGAGTGGTCGCTACTTGCCAATGTCGTGTTACGAATTGTCGTTTGTTAAACATTGTCGCCTGTTACGAATTTTCGCTTTTTATGAATTGTCGAAGGCAGTTACTTGATAGCAAATGGGGCTTGGTTGCGTACTTGGATTAAACGTTTGTAGCTACAAAAATGCACCTTGAGAAAATAAAATCAGCGTCTGATTTCAGGTCGATCAACAAACGCGTCTCTCAATTGCTCTCTGGACACGATGGGTTCTCGGTATCCGCCAGCTCCTCCGAGGAACTACATGGACACCCAACATCTCATCTCTTCGTCTCACTCTTCAGTCTCCTCTGTGCCCGCTTTCTCTTTCGCAACTCACCCGGCCGCTGTTACCTCTCTCCAACACATGATGCAGATGGCGACTCCTGCTGTTGCGCCTCACGTAATCCCGACTACTTCAGTCGCATTCGCAGCACACACCTGAACAAAAGTTCCTCAGTAGTATCTGCATCATATTGAAATAAATCAAGTTAAACTATTTACTAGTCTAATGACCGATAATAGAGAAACAATTCATTTGGGCCACTTCAGTCATCAAGTTTATTGTTTTATTATGTCTGAACCTTAATTGAGTCAAAACATCAAAATTGAATATGATGCCTTCTTCCTACCGTTTAAGTGCCCGTTTTTCCATTTTTGTTTTAAAATCCTAAAAGAATTGAAGTTTCATCAGAATAAACTGGTATGCTTAAATTTAATTTTGATATGCTTCTGATAATCCAAAACAGCAAAAAAAATCAAAGAAAAGTAGCAATGTTGCGGGTTCCGCGACAAATCTGATTTTGGCCTGTTGTGGAATCCGCTTACAATGCACAGTTTGGCCTCGTAATGTTTAAAAGTTCAATGGAAAGAAATCAATGTCGCCGAGTTGTATACGTGTACAATAAATGAAAAGGTCGAGTTTAAGGGAATGCAAGTTTAACCGACAAGACCCACAAAGCTGAACGAAACAGTTTCTCTTCGATGCTGCCTTACATTTGTCACTGACCATATCTTTTGCCTTATCTGATGTCCTTAATTTGTTGCCAAATACATCATCTTTTCATCTTTTGCTCCTTAGTGCCTTACCAATATCATATGATGTTTATTTCTTAAAATGCTGCTTTTGTGTAAATTGTGTCGCTAATAATTTATATTATTAAATATTACTTTTTACATGAGTTTGAGTTTCAAAAAGGAGACTTGTATTTTTTATTTACAAATCCCTGGAATGTAGCTATACAACGGATAGGTATTCCAGCAAAGTAATGAGGATTTAATAAAATGAAAGGAATCAGGCTTTTCCAGACTTTGTTGGCTCTTACAAAAATATTTGGTTTTCCTATTCAACCTCGTAAAACCACTTGCTACCTCGTTACAACACAAAATGGATGCTCATGTGAGGTGGGAGAAATCCCGCCGTATGCGAGCTCAGGGGCGGATTTAGGGGGGGCGGGAGGGGGGCAGACGCCCCCCCCCCCCCCTCAGGGATTCGACCCCCTGCCGACCCAAAGGGTCCCCCTTTGATACTTTTTCAGAAATCCATTTTTGGCCGACCGACCCTAAATTTTTTCTAAAGGCGCCTTTGGCGCCAATATATACTAACTTTGAGGGGGAGCGCGCGCCAAAAAAACGCTATTTTTTTGTCAAAATTTTTCAAAAAGTGCCCAAAAACGGCTTTTTTTGACTGTTTTTTCAAAAATTTGCCTGCGGCGCAGAAAACTTTGCCAAAAAAGGGGCAAAACAGTGCTTTGGGAGAGCTCGAAAAATCAATTTGGTCGACCTAAAAAAAAAAAAGGTCGTCAAAATTTTTTGAAAATCCGCCCCCCCCCCCCCCCCTCGAGAAAATCCTAGATCCGCCCCTGTGCGAGCTACTGCGCACATTCGGGGCCAAAAAGATATTCAAAATGCAGGTGATACTGCAATTTTAGGGGTTCTAATGTTAATTTACATATAAGTTTCACATTTTGATTTATTGTGACGCTTCGTGATCAGTTGAGTTTTAAATTTAATGAATATGAATGAGTGAAGTTGGGATTCTACTCTTGGTGCACTTCTGTACTATTCACCACAAATCCTTCTTTCTGTTTTTTCCACAGCACACTTCTTACTCGAGCCAGCCGCTGCTGGTATTCCTCAAATATTTCTGGAAATTTTTTAAATAGTCGCAACTAGTTCTTTCATGTACCACCCACCACCAATTTTCTTCAGTTCAACCAGCCCTCACCGATTTTCCCCTCCATGTCTATTGAGACGTCTTTGCACTATTCATCTCAAGTCTTTAAATATTTTTTCCGTTACACTCAGACTTGTTAACGGGCCGCCATAATTGAGGCCCGGCCCGGCCCGATATAATTCAAGTCGAGCCCGTTGGCGGCCCGATAAACAGGGAATTTATTAAATATCGGCCCGTTGGGGCCCGTTGCTGCTTTTTTGGTAAAAAAAACAAATTTGTTTCAAAACAATTTTAATTAATTGTTTTACTTATTTATAAAAACCTTTTTTCTGCAATGAATCGGCAGTGAACGTAGTAGTCATGTCGTTTAGCACACTGCAAGCTGTACAGTGCGCACTGAAACATAACATTGGTTAGTCAAAAAAAGTAAGGCCCGTTGGGGCCCGTTGACAAAAGTGAAAACCTCGGCCCGGCCCGTTGAGGCCCACGGGCGGCCCGGCCTGTTGACAAGTATGGTTACACTCTTTCCGTAAAAATTTTTAGGGTTACAACTTTTCCGGTCACATATTTTGTTCCGTTTTTCACGGCAGACTTTTCCCGTCACATATTTTTCCCGTGTCTCCCACGATACATTTTCAACAAAGTAATCGTCACTTTTTTGCTCCTTTTTTCAACCGGGACACGCTGTGCTAATCGCCACCAGTACTTTTTCCGAAGTCACCCCGGGTCGAGATCCCAGACGCATGTCCAGACTTTAGCGACAAATTTTTGGCATGTCCAGACTTCGGCGACCAAAATGTGGCTTTCCAGACTTTCGCGACTACAATAATCCGTCGTGACTTTCGCGACCGAAATGAAGATGGCTCGACAGAAATATCGCGACAAAAAATTGGCATGTCCAGACTCGCGACCAAAAACTCAGCCGCGACTTTCGCGAGCAAGGCGGAGACAGCGCGGCTCAGGAAACAGTAGAACCAAACTCATCCATTTCCAGACTTTTGCGACGGAGATGGCAGCGGCGCGAATTTTGCGACCAACGTGGAGACGACCCAGACCCAAAGAGACTTTCCAGGCTTAAACTCTCGGCGCGACTCTGCAATTTGTTTCTAAATTCGGATGAGGTGCGATCCACAAAATCTGGAAATGAGTCATGAGTTGTCAATGATTCTTTTGGGAGACGCCTGTGCTAGTCTCCATTAGTGCTCGTTCTCTTGTTTTCCATGACACAATTTCGGCAACTCAAACTGTAGAGAATGGTTTTCCCTTTGTTTCTCGGGACTCTGCGGCACCCTCGAATAGTACTTTTTTCAGTGTTATCCACGACAAATGTTAATCAGAGTGTCTAGTCGTCACCGGTTTTCCTTCTGGTGCATCTAAGTTTGTCATATCTTTTGTCATATATACATATTTCAGTTATCATAGTTGATAGTCCGTTCTTGGCACTGACCTTGATTGATGGTCAGTTGATTGATACCTGATTGATACCTGTCAAAATCCAGTGGTGCTGAAACAGTTGATTTTAGTTTGAATCACATACAGTTGATTGGATTAACTATTAACTTGCGTTCGGAATTTACTTCACTGGATTACTGTTAATTACATGGCGCAGCAATCAGCGATCGGCCTTGGGGGAGAGATAAACCCGTTGCTAATTACCGCTTTTTGGCCGAGCAAATGAGCCGAACCTCCAATGCTGTCAGAACTTTGGATCAAATGATTCACGTGGGGTGTAATTGGGAAGCATGCCTTTAATCCGCCGTCATTCTACTTCACAGAAACGCTTACAATAGCGCAAGTCGCGGCGCTACCGGCGGATATATTGGGCAATAACTGCGTAGAAGCGGAACAGACGTTCATCAGACAAAAATATTTGGTTTTCCTATTCAACCTCGTAAAACCATTTGATAACTCGTTACAACACAAAATGGATGCTCATGTGGGGTGGGAGAAATCCTGCCGTATGCGAGCTACAGCGCACATTTGGGGCCAAAAAGATAATCAAAATGCAGGTGATACTGCAATTTTAGGGGTTCTATTGTTAATTTACAGATAAGTTTCACATTTTGATTTCTTGTGACGCTTCGTGATCAGTTGAGTTTTAACTTTAATGAATATGAATGAGTGAAGTTGGGATTCTACTCTTGGTGAACTTCTGTATTATTCACCACAAAACCTTCTTTCTGTGTTTTCCACAGCACACTTCTTACTCGAGCCAGCCGCTGCTGGTATTCCTCCTCAAATTTTACTGAAAATTTTTTAAATAGTCGCAACTAGTTCTTTCATGTACCACCCATCGCCAATTTACTTCAGTTCAACCAGCCCTCACCGATTTCCCCCTCCATGTCTATTGAGACGTCTTTGCCGTATGCATCTCAAGTATTTAAGTATTTTTTCCGCTACACTCTTTCCGTAACAATTTTTAGGGTTACAACTTTTCCGGTCACATATTTTGTTCCGTTTTTCACGGCAGACTTTTCCCGTCACATACTTTTCCCGTGTCTCCCACGATACATTTTCAAAAAACTTATCGCCACTTTTTTGCTCCTCGTTTCAACCGGGACACGCTGTGCTAGTCGCCACCAGTACCTCTTCCGAAGTCACCCCGGGTCGAGATCCCAGACGCATGTCCAGTTTTTAGCGACAAGTTTTTGGCATGTCCAGACTTCGGCGACCAAAATGTGGCTTTCCAGACTTTCGCGACTACAATAATCCGTCGTGACTTTCGCGACCGAAATGAAGATGGCTCGACAGAAATATCGCGACAAAAAATTGGCATGTCCAGACTCGCGACCAAAAGCTCAGCCGCGACTTTCGCGAGCAAGGCGGAGACAGCGCGGCTCAGGAAACAGTAGAACCAAACTCATCCATTTCCAGACTTTCGCGACGGAGATGGCGGCGGCGCGAATTTTGCGACCAACGTGGAGACGACCCAGACCCAAAGAGACTTTCCAGGCTTAAACTCTCGGCGTGACTCTGCAATTTGTTTCTAAATTCAGATGAGGTGCGATCCACAAAATCTGGACATGAGTCATGAGTTGTCAATGATTCTTTTGGGAGACGCTTGTGCTAGTATTCATTAGTACTCGTTCTCTTGTTTTCCATGACACAATTTCGGCAACTCAAACTGTAGAGAATGGTTTTCCCTTTGTTTCTCGGGACTCTGCGGCACCCTCGAATAGTACTTTTTCCAGTGTTATCCACGACAAATGTTAATCAGAGTGTCTAGTCGTCACCGGTTTTCCTTCTGGTGCATCTAAGTTTGTCATATCTTTTATCATATATACATATTTCAGTTATCATAGTTAATAGTCCGTTCTTGGCACTGACCTTGATTGATGGTCAGTTGATTGATACCTGATTGATACCTGTCAAAATCCAGTGGTGCTGAAACAGTTGATCTTAGTTTGAATCACATACAGTTGATTGGATTAACTATTAACTTGCGTTCGGAATTTACTTTACTGGATTACTCTTAATTACATGGCGCAGCAAGCAGCGAACGGCCTTGGGGGAGAGATAAACCCGTTGCTAATTACCGCTTTTTGGCCGAGCAAATGAGTCGAACCTCCAATGCTGTCAGAACTTTGGATCAAATGATTCACGTGGGGTGTAATTGGGAAGCATGCCTTTAATCCGCCGTCAGTCTACTTCACAGAAACGCTTACAATAGCGCAAGTCGCGGCGCTACCGGCGGATATATTGGGCAATAACTGCGTAGAAGCGGAACAGACGTTCATCAGACAAAAATATTTGGTTTTCCTATTCAACCTCGTAAAACCATTTGATAACTCGTTACAACACAAAATGGATGCTCATGTGAGTTGGGAGAAATCCTGCCGTATGCGAGCTACCGCGCACATTTGGGGCCAAAAAGATAACCAAAATGCAGGTGATACTGCAATTTTAGGGGTTCTATTGTTAATTTACAGATAAGTTTCACATTTTGATTTCTTGTGACGCTTCGTGATCAGTTGATTTTTAAATTTAATG